GTTTTCATTATTTGAACGTCATCATCGTCTTTCGGAGGACACTTTCCTGTTTGTTTTTCCTTATGGAAGATAAAAGAAAGCTGAATTTCCTGTTTTGCCAAGTAAAGCTGTCAATTTATCTAAACACAAAAGCAAACATTAACAGCGGACAGGGGTGGGATTCTTTATTTTTTAAGTGTCTACTTTCAGCTCGTGTGCTGCCGGAACATAATAATTAAGATAAAATAGAAGGATTCCTGGATTCTTTGCAAAGTGTGTGGGATTATTAATGATTTTTGGAAATCACTTTTCTAGACGTGTTAATCGAATTTAATTTATTTGTCTCTTTCGTGTGATGTTTGGTAATTAGCTGTTTCGTTCTTTGTCTCCTGGCAGGAAGCAGTGGTGAGCTGCTGGGTTCAGTTCAGCGACGGTGCAGTCACTCCGCTGGACCTCTTCGACCGCAGCGTCTACTCCCTGACGGTGTCCACTCCAGACGAGAAGGTGGCCACGGTGCGCCGCACCCCGCAGTCCACGTTCGTGGTAGCGCAAGGCGAGGGCGAAGGCAAGGGGGCGCTGGTGAGGGTGGAGCTGAGGATCTGTGAGGAATGCCAGAAGTCTAAAAGGAAGAGCAAGCTGGCGGTGGGCACGGCGCTCCTCAAGATCAACTTCCAGAGTCGCGGCAGAGTCGTAGCGCGAGAAGGCGGCGCCGACGGTAAAGACAGCGGTGCCTCGGAGTTGGTGGGTGAACTTAAAACAACAGTTACGTCCCAGGGCGGTGGGAAGGATGTGAATAAGCTGTTACTAAGGAGCACAGCGAGAGAGAGCGCTGTGGCAGAAACTACCACCTCAACCACGTTTTCAGCCAGAAACATGCAGCCGCATGTTGTGTGGATCGGGATGACAAGCAAACCTGCACGAGTCACCACCAATCCTGTTGTTACCACGGCTTTTACTACGGCTATGACCAAACCGAGTACAAAACTGAGCACTGCCGTACCTGTAGCAACAACGGCAGGTGTTTTCAGCAGAGGAGAAGGCCAGAGGAGAAGCTACGGGAACATGCTCGACATCCCTAATTCACCTCTTAGCAAAGACATTCCTAAAGCAGAAGTGACACCAAAGAAGGAGCCTCCCAAATCTAAAAGTCCAAAAGTAATCGAAAGCGACCTCATTAAGACTTTCAGAGCCATGTCGGACTTGGAAATTGGCATGTATACGCTGGTGGGGGTCTCCTGTGTGGCTCTCTTAGCTTTCTTTATCAACTGCGCTTCGTATAATCTCTGCTTCCGGAAGCAGAAGACCCCCATACAGGCCGGCCCAATCCCCAGCGCTGACCCAAAGGACCACAAGCACGACTGGGTGTGGCTGGGGGGCGGCAGTCGCAGCGCTCCTGCCCCCGGCGCCCCGGCTCAAGTGTCCACGCTGAAACGCGAGTCCCACCGCCCTCTGGAATCCCGTCATTCCATCGATTCGATGGGCGCCCGCGGCCTGGAGAGCGCCCTGCCCACGGTGAGCGCCCCCGCCGTGCCGGAGAGGACCGCCACGCTGGGTCGCAGCAGAACCAGCTCCCAGCAGCAGCACTTCCAATCAAAGGCGATCGACCCGATGGCGAACCGCTCGGCCACTTTGCTGGCGAGGCCGCACCGCAGCGATCCGCTTCATTCCCCCACCAGCAAGAGGAACCAGGTCCAGTTCACCACCTTCACCACGCTGGACATCAAGCACTTGGCCGCGCTCAAGAAGAACGGCGTGGACTTGAACTGGGCCAACCAGCAGAAGCAGCAGCACGAAGCCCCCGCCGAGCCCCAGACACCTTTACCTGACATGCCATGGCCTGTCGTGACGCCTCTCGGAGAGCCCCAGTGAATCCGTCGGAGGGTGTCGGTGTTTGTAAAACGTCTACACAGAATGTTCTGCCGGAGAAGACTGAAGGAAAGGAAGCGAGCTTTTTGATAAAAGAGAAATCCCTTTAACGGATGTATTTATTGAGATTACAGAAAGGACATTTTATATTTACAAGAAAAGTGCGTGCAAGCCTGTAAATACGTAACGATGTACCCACGAAGGCCGACGTTTAGCAATACCGTGTTCATTCATTTGCATGATTTAATGTACTTATGTCCTGTAAATACACATATATCCATACTATTTTACTTATTTCTACATTTCTAAGTCGAGACAAATGAATTTTCGTCTCCTTTTCATACAACTCTGTTGCCCTTGTAGAAACAGACATTGCTAGATGACAGGGTAGATGCAGTACAGGCAGAATTATTTCATGTAATTCTATTCTTTTCCAGCCTTTTGTACTTTTTTTTTCTTCTTCTTCTTCTTCTTCTTCTAGGGTTCCTCCAGAGAATACCTGAGGAGTCTGTGCAATTTGTCAGAGAATATGCAACATTTATCAAGTTATTTTGAGCAATCTGTCACCGCAGTCTTCACTAGATATTTATTCAAATCAAATGCATGCTATGCAAATGTAGTCTGTGCAGAGTTTGAGATGGACATTGTTTGAGGATTTTTATTATTTTTTTTAAAACACAAAGTTACCCCGGCCTTCAAGGCTTCTCCCGGGGACCCTGCTTCTACAATTTGTACAACCGTCTAATCTCGGTCTCTTGACACAGTGCAATACATATTCAGTTGTAAGATTTTTCATGTGTGACTGAAAAACGATGATGCCTTTTCTATGTAACGTCCTCCTATTTTTAAACCAAAACGTGATGTGTATTTCCTACGAGATTCTATCAATAAAGAACAAATGGATGCATTTGCTATAGCTGAAATTCAATTGAATGTTGTTTTTTTAAAAATATTCGCAGGAAAGCACGCTGAATGGTTTGGATTATCGGATGAAGCTTTGCTATGAATGAGTGGGATTTAATTATGTGTAATCACGATTGAATGCGATTCGAGGCTGATGTCATCATTCAGCGAAACGTCACACTGACAGCAGCGACGCATCTGCCAGAGCTGTGATTCTGCACTAAAATAACTCCGACAGTAAGAGAAAACTGGGAAGAAAGGAAGCGATCCTCGTTTTGTTTGCCTTCATTCTGTCCCCACAAATAATTACAGGCGTTTTGTCTCGCTGATCCGAACACGTGGTCATGTTTCTCCGTCCTCCTTCCGGCGTCTCGGCGGTGACCGCGGCTACACTTCTCGAAATTACATTCGTCGAGCCGCGATGCATAAACAGCGTCCCCAGCTTAAAGAAGCCGAGATAATCTGATGCCATGCACCTCAGGAATTGGCAGCTGTGGATATGACAGCGCGCGTCATCACTCCCTGCTGCACAACAGCGTCGGCTGGATTTAGAGTGTTGATAAAAGCAATTTTAATAACTTCCCCCCAAATTCTCTACCTACAGGCCCGCCGGTTTTCTTTCTATTTTTTTTATTTTTTTCTTGTATAAACTCTCTCCCGATTCCAGCTGATTTATCTGTCCAGCAGCGGTAGGAAAAGTAAACAAACTCGTCTTGGAGATAAGCAGGCCCGGCATCTTTGATTGTGGACCCGCTGTATCATACAGGATGGAGAATTCGGGACTCAAAAGTTCAGACACAGAACTGATTAAGATATAAAAAGCTGCACGGTTTGTATGACAACAACGCAATAACAAAATACGTGTCGATATGCTTCCTAGCTGCTATTTTGTTTTGATATCTTCGTCCAGTTGGTCTCCCACAGGTGAAACGAACATTATTTAAATGTAGAAGAAGCATTTGGCTCCATCACAAATTTTTAGCAGAAATCTTCCATTTAATTAAACTCATCATACAAGCTGTAGCTGCAGAAATAGTCTGTCTTGAGTGATTGGGAAGCGGCATTATAAAGTATAATTCCGGTTCCATTATTTTGGCAATAATCCATCGAGATGCATCGACACAGCAGCCAGGACTGCTTTGCATATAATGAAGTATGTAAATTGTGCGAGTTTACAAACAAGACAGGAGTGGAGTCCCTCAGTATCATTACAGCTGGATCTCTAATCTGGCGCATCAGCTTCCCTGTTGACAGATTGGGGTCATTGTGTTGGGAGGATTAGTGTGCATTAGTGGGTCGTCTCCGTGGCACAGCGCTGGTAATGTAGGCCAAAAAGAGACAAGGTCGCGTGGTCGCAAGTCTGCTTCCTCACAGGTCGGACACATGGTCCCAGACGGAGGGAGGCGTCTGTGGGAAGGTGGGAGTGCAAATGGAGAAAATAAAAAAAAACAACATCACTTGTGAAATGTGCTGTATGCTGTTAAAACATAACGAGGAACTGTGAGGGAATAAAAAAATCTCTTTACGGTGTCGCGTACACGATTTGAAGTCCATCCGTTCATTAGCTTTGCCCCGTAGAGGGTCGCAGGGGGGGTTGGAGTGGAGCTTGTTGCACCTGTGATTGGATGAAGCCACCAGTTCATCTAACACAAAGAGGCACACACTCACACCTACGGCCAGTTTAGAATCACCAATTTGCCTACTCGCTGTGGAAGCGAGCCGAAAACCCAGGAAGGCAACGGACAAACACGCTACGGCGTCTCGTCTACAAAACATCATCAACACTTCTAGCAGACCTTCCAGGATGCATGTTCATGTACTTTTCATGCATGTGTTTGAGAGTTAAAAGAAAAAAACACATGATGCAGATTTCTGGCGTCTTCAGTTTGAGTTAAGAGGAGTCTGGGTTGAAGAAGTAATGCAGCAAAAAAATTAAACGAAGGCAGCGTTAACCATAGTTGGTGCCCCCGTGTTCTTTAAGAAAGTTACTGAGAGAAGCTTTGAATGCTGTCTTTGCATTAACTCTTGCACAACGTGGCTCCAACAGCAGCAGCAGCAGCTTGAAGTTCTTTGAAAGAAAAACTGATTCTTCAAAGTAAGAAGATACGACAGCGTTGATTGTTGATTCTCTTAATATCTTAGGTTGGTTTTTGCCTTGTAATCACACAGATTAGGTTCAGGAAGCTCACAGCAGGAAGCAGGGGAGCTTGTGTTCATACGTTTCACATCTATTGTTTCGTCTGATTAACTGGATGGTATTAAAAAAATAGTATGTTTATATATATTTTTAAAAAAAGAGAGCATAGGCATAAAGGCTGACGAAGATAGACGAAAGCAGACCTTCACACGCAGACTTCAGTCCTTAAACGAACAAGGAGATGAGAGATAATACGCATCACAGGTGGAGGGAAACTCAAAACTGTATGGCAGCTCATTAGGACAAAGTATATGTGCTTCCCCGCTACACTCGCTGCTGTCATCGCTCGTCGGCAGAACGTCAGTGCTCAGTGTGAATCACAGGATAATGTCACCGATTTCCCAAAGAATGGGGACTAAATGCAGAAGAGAAGATCTCTGTGTTAATGAGGCAGATTGCGGGGAACAGCTTTGTCAGAGCAGAAGGAACGGCCCTGAACGTGATACCAGCGGCTTTGCGGAGGGCTTACAGCCGCGTTTTAAGCTGAATGCTGCTTTCGTTGAATTAGAGTGTTAATGTGTTGGTGTTGAGGAAAAGCGTAGTGCTCACCGTGTTTGCCATCTTTGTGGGGCACGTTGTTGGGAGTGCGTTTGGTCAAAAAGTATTGGACGGATAAACACCATAGTTACTATGGTTTATCCAAGACTCTGAATTTCGACTGGATCTGTCTCAGTGAAACCAAACCCGACAACAAAACAACAAGAGGAAAAGTTAAGGGAAGTATAACAGCAGTAGGATTTGTCGCCTTAGAGGTCATCAATGTCTGTACAAAACTTAGAGCCCAACAGGTCAAAGTATTTCACTGAATAAATGAAAACTTTAAGCTGCCGATGCACTACTGGAAACAGTCAGAGGCTCCCTATAGGTCCATACAGCTGCAAGTCAAAATTCAATCTACCCAAACCAAAAATGTCAGCATCATCGTGGTGCTGCTGGAAAACCTTGTCATCAGAGCAATTGTAGGAAGTTGTACTTTGGAGACCATGTAGAAGCCAATAACGTAAGAACGGCCAATAACCTAATATCTTTTGGTCAATAATGTAATATCGGTTCGGGACTTTTATTACGTTATTGGCCTATTACATTGTTATTGGCTTCTGCAGACCATGAAAAATTGTGGCAGTTTTTTTTTCTGCACTTGTTCAGATGTTTCAGTCAAATTGCCAATAACTATCCATAATTATTTTATTTATTTATATATTAATCATACTGATTTTATGTTGGTGTTGTGTTGTTTTTTGGTGTAGCAATTTCCCTGAGGTCTTGTACCGAAGGGATTAGTAAAGTTTTATCCTAATTCTAATTCTAATTAAGCATAGAGTTAGTTTTTACTTATTTAGTTTAACCTGAATGTGGCTGATTGGAATTATTAGGGAAAAAAAGCTGTGGTTATCAAAATTCTTTCTATTTGCTAAACACCAGAATAATGAGAGAGAGAAAGTTTTTTTTATTACTTTCTTCAAAGTCAGAAGTTTCCATCCATCTCCTCAGTATCTGGTAGCGTTGCCTTTAAACTGCATGACTTGGGTCAAACGTTCTGGGTTTCCTTCCACAAGCTTCTCACAATAGTTTGATGAGTTCTGGCCCATTCCTCCTGACAGAACTGCTATAACCAAGTCAGGTTTGTTAGCTCTGTGTTTGAGGTTTGCTTTAAAATACATCCACAGGTGAGCCTCCAATTAGCGCAACTGTTGCCAACGAACCAATCAAAAGCTTCCAAAGCCATGACATCATCATCATCATCTGGGCTTTCCCAAATAGTTTGAAGGCATCTCAGTGGATGTAAACTTCTGACTTTGAAGAAAGTAATTTAAAAATTCTCACTAGTCTGGCGTTTAGCAAATAGAAATCATTCTGCTGATCCTGACTGACCTTAAACAGGAACAGTTTAGTCTGATTTAAT